CCCCCCCCCCCCCCAATTAACTCAAAATTTCAGGCGAGTCACAAGAGCTCAAACCTTAAAAACGAGATAGACAAGTAAAGAACCAAAGGAAAAATATCGACCTAGTACTCACCGCCTTGAGTTCAGGATCCAGTTCAACAGATGTCAGTTTGGGGAACTGTTCAATTAGTGGTGGGCCGATCTCATTAGCGAATCTCACTAAAATTGGATTTTTGCTCAAATTCAATCTCTCCAGTTTAGGCAGATACAAACATCGAGGGAAAGCATGAAGGTAGTTGTCTGAGAGATTAAGTTCAACCAAATTGATGCATTGATTCAAATGAACTGGTACGATGCCGGTGAATGAACAACCCGGAAGACTGAAAAGGCAATTGGATGGTAATTTCGAGAGAGGATTTATATACGAGACGTATTAAAAAGAATTAGACTGCATTACCTCAAAATCCGCACTTTCCTCAAGGTATCAGCTCCAGTGGCCGCGAAAATGGAAATTTCATTCAGAATGTTATGCTCCTCACAGGATAAGTCTAAGGACAACACTTCATCTACAAGTAGCCAGGCGTACAAGTATTAGCCTAATGACTCAAAGGATAACTGCGACAAATTTAATTCTAATTGCCATTAAATATGCCATTAAGATAAATATATGCTGTGTTTAAGGCAATTAAGAAAATCAAAACATAAAACAGAAAATATCTGCTTCATAATTACTATTTCGTCCTTGAGAATGCATAGGATTTTAAACAACTGCTGACGGACTTCTAAAAAAATCTGCCATGTCACAGCATTCTAAGATCTGGATTGGTAAAGTTGTACTATATTTGGCTTCTATACATTTTTTTCAATTGTGGTGGATAGAAAATAATCATAAATATAAATCCATTATACCTGATTCAGAATCTGACGTATTCGTATTCAAATCCAGCCGTTCAAGTGGATCATTGAGCAATTGTTCCGCAACTGAAAGATCCAATTCCATTACTTGATCCACAGTAAAGTATCTAAAAGTGAGAATCAAACAATACCATGAATCATAACACATCACAATAGATAAAACAAAGATTATCAACACAGCAACCTACCCTCTATCCAAAGTTGGAGCATGGGGAAACTGACAACCACAATTGCGAACAACCTTTCTGGCTAATTCTGCAAGCTCCCTTCTTCGTGTAAGAAGAGCTGGTTGACCAGCAGCAAGATAAGCTGCAGCTTCATTGCAAGCAGACTCATAGGGAGTAAGTAGAGGAGACTTAGTCTGGCTAGAAAGTTGGCCACCAGAATATGATGGGCTCATCATGCTTGACTGTTGTTGTTGTTGTTGACCTCCTTGCAATGGAGTGCGCCCATAGAGTAAAGCAATCTCTCTCACGGAATCTACACGGGTAGTATCGTTAACAAGGAGACTGGCAATAGCATGCGGGTCGTTGGTACCCATTGCAGACTCAGATCGCAGTGCAGCAAGCTCCGTGGCTCTCTCCCAGGAAGCACGCTCAATATTTGTACAATCTGATTTGGGCTTCACTTCCATTGTCACCGGGAGATCAGTTAGAGCATTCACTGCAGCCAAGCGTAGGGCCTCCGATTCAGCAGCCGATAACTTATGAGTAGGATCGCGTTTAACGACAGCCATATTTGACATATAGCTTTGCAGATTATTGACATTAAGGGATTGTCGACTTTTTGCAGCCTCAGCAGAAGAATCCTTAGCCGTATAGGCGAGGACAACACCACTATCAGGAGAGAATGGAACTGCGGTTCCAATAAGACCAGAATTAGCAGAAACATGACTCGGCTGAATAGCTGTGAGACCACGCGATTCAAGCATGGCCAATTGACTACTAGCAACCTGTCCGCTAACAGCAGCACTTTCTGGTTGAATGGTGTGTAACAATTGACTGGTTTGTTTAACTTGTTGTTGAGGATGATAGGAGGCTTGAGCAACTTTGATTTCCTGTGAACAGGCTTGGGTAATTAACTGAGCTAGGTGAAAGAGTTCACGCTTATGAAATATTAGCACGGGTTTAAAACGACATATCTGCGAGGCACCTTCGTTAATAACCATTTCCATAACTGTGAGAGGACGCGCCTGAGGTCCACAATGATAGATTTTGGCGTGATTTCGAAGGAGATCATACTTTTCCAATGTTTCACCTTGAGATGCTCCGACTGCGTAGGATCGGGCCAACTCTAGTGCAGCCGGCATATCTGCATAGCCCTTCTTTGGATTGAACAACTCAGAGCCTGGTTGAGGGAAGGTTAAATCAGTTCGATTAATCAGCCTCTCGTGGTATATTGCTTCCGCATTACGTCTAACTGCGGTATAGAGTTCGTGAGAGAGACCAGAAGGGCACCAATTAGAGGCAGTTAGTCCTGCTTCAGAATCTTCACCGCCAACATCATTAGTTACAACCAGCACAGTTTGAATGGGTTGCCCATCCTCGGACGGTCCCATAAAAGAATAATCAATAGTCTGACCATTGAGTTCAATAATGACGTGTTCACCAAAATGACCGTACTTTTGATCAATAATATTCTTCTTATCATCCTCCAAGATCACTGTTTGAATATTCTTTCCATCCAGTGTAGCTGAAACTTCGGTAAGAGTAAATTGCTGACCCGGTGGCGTTTCATTCTCAGGCTGTTTAATCGCCTATAAATGGATAGCAGACTTTTACAATAGTTCTTTCTATTCGAGTAAACAATATTTAGCTGAAACGCCATTGGGAAATAATACAAACTCACATCGGAAATTACTTTAAAAATAATTAACAAAGTTCTTTGATGAGGTCAAAAACTATTCATTGACAGGCTCATGGCTCAAACAGTCATGTTGACCATGAAATTCAACAAAAATGAATGGCTCTATCTTATCAACCCAATCCAAAAGAAATTTACATACAAAAATATATATATCACGTTGATAAGAATCTACTGCCTTAGTACCTATGAAATAGGAGAATATGTAGCTTATGTAGAGAGGAGACTTTAAAAAACGCATTTTAAAAGATAAAAACGAAATGGCGACTATGTGAAATATGAAGTTTACAAAAGCATGAATTCAATCTACAGAATAAAAAGAACGGCATTTCGAAAACAGAAAATCATCTGAGTTTTGAAAATAAACATCTATTAGACAGAAAGAGGATATGATAGGTAAGAGCAGATATAGCAATTAACAAAACCCACAGAGAAAATGAAATGGTCACTTTAAGCCGCTTCAAAGTTACTTAAAATTAGGTACAATATTGTACTAATATACAATCGTGACGGGTAAAAAACATGCTAATCTGGAAGTAGATGAAACCAAATATAAAAAATTTCAAGATAAGGAAAATGGCAGTGGGTCTTTTTGTTAGAGATTTTACAAAAATAAGTTTTCGATTATTCAAAAAAAGTAACACGAAAATGCATTGCGATTCTGTGCGTCGACTAAATGGGGATGAAAGAAGTATCGAAAATCTGAAACAATTAAGAGTTAAAAAAACTAATTCATATCCTTAATCGATCCATTAAATGAGACTACATTTAATGATGAAGAAAAAACGAACCTCAGTAGCAGTCCACTGTTGTTGATTAGGTTCGCTAGTTACAGTATTATCCACAGTCTGAGATTCTGCCTGTTCATCAGCGAACATCAAGGTCGACTAAAATACAAACTAGAAAATTTAACTTGCCTTACCGATATAGGTTCTCCATTATCTGAAGGGCCCTGAATTTCATAACAAAACGCCTGGCCACTAAGCTCCATTACAACTTGACTACCATGAGTACCGTGTTTCTGTTCAATAACATTACCAGCACTGTCCAAGAGAGAAACCAGCTGAACAGGTTGACCATCTAGAAGAGCCGGTTGCTCGGTAATTGTGAATCGCTCTCCATTCTCATCTTGATTAACAACTGCTGATTGTTCTTCCGCTGCCACTTCAGATGCAGTCTTGCTAGTTTGAGGATTATCAGCATCTTGTTCGACCTCCATAGACATGGCTTCGCTAGATGTTACATTAGGATCAGCAACCTTAGTTGTAATCTCCGCAGCAGGAGACTGTGGGCGCTCCGTATTTCCATGCTCACCTGCATCTCCTGTTTCCTAAAGAGCACACAAAAAAATTTAAAAAAAAACTAAAAAACATATATGGGTTTAAATTGAACGTCGACTGTTTACCTGCAGCACTAACTGATCCTGTTCAACAGGGACTAGAGTTAGCACTTGCTTTCCATCTTCATCAATAATATTTTGAAGGGTGGCTTCGCCATTCATGATTTTCTTTGCGTCTTCGGGGGAAACAAGAGCAAATCCAGAAGACTCATTGTTTTCATCCATGAACATCAACTTTACGAACTCATTTCCCTCCTCATCAGTGACCATTTCAAAGCCATGCGATGATAGATCATCAGCCATTGTGAATTCCTAATATAATTCAAATGACTACTTTGAAATTATAGAATATTTCCCGAATCAAACGCAAGATTTTATGGAGATGAAATGTCGGGGGAAATACAGTTAATTATAACAAAAATCATATATAGGAGTCTGATTTTGAAAAAAAATAGCCAGTATCAGTAGAAAAATCGATATTGATATAATAAAATTATGTATGTAGAAGCTATTTATATATTTAAAAACCTCATGTAATATATGTTTCTCTATTAAAAAGGTAATAAACCTCAATTGTAGGCGAAAATAAAGTGATGCACTTAAACAACTTTAAAAGCCATTTGAGTAATATTGTAAATACTGGTTTTATTTGAATGAATATGGCAACGTAAGGTACACGACATGATATGATTTTTAAATTTATCTATAAAATACTATTTTTTCTATTTTATGTCTATTGAATTTTTAAGATTTTCTAATATCCGCGTTACCTTGCAATTGCCGAAATTAATTTTTTGTCGAAGGGCAAGATTTTTATTTATTCAGTATGATCTTTATCATTATTTCTATTTGTTTACGATTCTTTTCTGTTCTGCTCGTCGTTACTTCTTTAAATAGTTAGTAAAACTTCTTTCTATAATTTCGTGCTGAACACATGTATGACAGATGGGCTTTATTATTTTATTCCGCAAACTTCTGTATTTTCCTCAACTGATATTCCCTTTTGGAACCACATATTTGATTTTACCTTAATCTAACAAGAAAATTAAATAAAAGCTCCTGTTATCGTGTTCTTCCTCTTTTTTATCAGCTGAAAAATTTAAGCAATAAGGAGTAGAGTGGCAACAACTAGAAAATACCAATATATTATTTCAACAGAAATATTTAACTTGCTAATAAAACTATTAATTTATACTTTCAAAGTAAATTGAATTATCTCCGTTCAGTTAAATAACCTTTATTTACTTTGATATTTCTTGGTAACAAAGAATTATAAAATTGCATAACATAGGTGGTTGAAGAAATGTTTGCAATTGGTAAAAAAATTCCAAATAGTTTTTTTAATTAGAGTAAGCATTTGTTGGGTTTCCATTGAATGGTGGGAAATGGCGTTCCGAATCATTACACACATGTATTCGCAACGCATCAGAATTGTGTAGTCCTTAATCAGGGTTTCAAAATGAAATTTGCATTAATAATTTAAAAAATGGTTGCTCTGGCTATTAGATTTAAGCAAAAATGCCAATGTTTTAGAGTTACTTTCTCCAGCAATCGTGATTTTAAATTAGTCGTGTGCAAAGCTAACTTTGCAACTTATTCATATTTCATATCATTTAAATTAACTACTTATTTCATAAACTTTATTTTTCGTTCATCTGTGGTTTTGTATGCAACTTTTTTGAAATGAGATTTTTGATCATTATTCCTTTCACCCTGATCTTAATTCCGAAATGATTGCCAATTGACAAAAATGTATTCTCAGTCTCAAAATCTATGTTTTAGTTTTGACTGGGACCGCAAAATGAATAAGGAAGAGCTGTTTGTAGAGGAACTAGCTAGCCAATTTATTGACTTAAGTACTTAAAGTAAATACACGTCAGACATGTCTACTCATCGATATTGTCGTGATACCGGCAGTTGCCTTCCTTTCCATATTCATACACCTGAATCGCAATTTTTGAGATGATGTTGTCAAAGTCATTTTTCCCCAAATACAAACTGTGTGTCGACATTTGGTGCCCAGCTTTGCACAAAGACCATTTTCGAGTTTACCCCATCTGATTACTCGAGTTGGGAAGAAACTAGTGTAAAATTATTTATTATTGTTAGTACCGTATGATATTTGGGCTTACTGACCACTGACAGAGTAATCTCTAATTTTCCGAGACGAATATATTGTTTTATTAATTACTAGAATACTAACCCCTTATAGGGGAAACTTTCATTCCGCTAAAACAGTAACTGGTCCTAGAGTATCAAAACTGATGATAAATCAAACCCTTCATCTGTCTTATTTGATCAAAGAACCATACAAAATATATCATTCGGACAAAGAGAACAAGGCTCTAAACGTATTGACAGCAGAGGAGATAAGAAAAGTGAAAGCGACATTTTAGTTTTGATCGCAAGATTTCAGTAGATCTTAAAGTAACTCAATTCAGAATATCAGAACTATTTTAAGAGCCAGATCGAGTTAGGTTAAATATTACTCACAAAAAACTTATATTCTTCCAAAAGGCTTATAGGAGAAAACCGAAAGTTAACTAGAACATGTGAATACCGGACAGGTGAAAGTAAATTAGAGGGAAATTGAAGAATGAGTAGGAAGAGAAAATAGACTGATAGAGGAGGGCGTCGGTAATGAACAAGAGAAACCCGATCTGTGTTAGTTAGAGTGAACCTAGGTAAAATGAGACGGTAGAGCGTAAGATGTTCGCCGATGAGTGACCAATCAGAATCGTGGACTGACAAGGGCGCGTAGAGGGGTGAGTGCGAACGTGCGCAATATGGGACGAGACGAAGCGGGCATATGAATCAATGTAACCTTCACTACCATTAAAACGAACTTTGAAACGTAATACTGGCACGAAAAATTAATGATACCAAGGTTATTCAAAGTCTATTCACAATTTTCTAAATACCTTTGACTGGTAAGCGCATTTTGTCCATGTCTGCTACTTCTATCCTGAAATTGGATGTTTCAAATCCTAAGATGAGGAGAATTTTCTTGAAACCTTCTGACCCGCAAAATGCGTGGACATCAACAGATGAGAGATTTGTATCAAAATAATTTGGCCACTAAACTATTTTAAGTGTAAGCTATCTATTTATTCTGTAAATTAAGTTATAGTTTTTATTAGGACCCATGACAAGTGTAAAAGGAGACTGTGACATCCTAAAAGTATCTAATCAAGTGCTAAGTGGAAAGGAGGGGGGTTAAGGGGGGGGGGGGGGGAAGGGGTAGCCGGGACCTGTTATTTTACGCATAAATAGATATATAAGTTTATTCTTCGCATAAAGCAAATTTTGACTTCATTTTCCATCTACTAATTTGCTTAGAACTCAAATTTATTGATAATTTTCCGTTCAATTGCAAACCACCTGCCTTTAAGATAACTGAATGAAAAAAAACAAACATTTGCCTAAAATGAAAGTAATCAAGCATATTTTGAGGAAATGGGCGTTACTTTACACTCAACTTCCGTCTAAAAATCGAGGAAATTTTCCTCTCTTAGTTTCAGCTTTATCGTCATTTTAGGCCGTAGATATGTATTAAAAATTAAAAGGAAAATAAACTTTATAAATTGGAATACTTTTAGGAATCTATACCTAATGTGTTTCCGGAATAGATTTAATTAAATCTTGACAGAAGAAGTGAGTGGAAGGTGACATTTTACGGGTTTACTCAAAAGTGAGGAAGGAATTAATTAGTGGGAGGTGGTGCGTGGAAGTTAAATGGTATACGCCTCATTTAAATGACCTCGTGTGTAAAAAAAACAAAAATCGATGTGGAACTACATGTATTTATAAACGAATATTCATAATAAAAGTTCAACACAAAATATAGTAGGGAACAACTAATTAAAAATGAAATAAATTATTAATTATTTTTGAGCAGAGAATTTATCGTTATTAATCTAAAAAAGGTTATATAATTGCTTATAAGTGTTAGATGGTATGGGCCTTGGGTTGCAGAAGTTGGAAGTAAGGTCTACCTTCATAGAATTTGCATGTTTTTTTATTGAGTTTGGGGATTTGAGGCTATTCAGGGAAGCTTCAATGGCTAAAATAGTCACTTAATCTGTAACACTATTGAAGGGCTGCTACGCACTCACTGTGACAATGGCAAATGCCGCTAGATTACTATTAACAGTCGCTATGGTAATTAGTGCTTCTTTTCATAGTGGTGTATTCGCGAATAACAAAAATGACTATTTCAATACAAAAGATCATTAGAATATATTCGACTGTAAGCAAGAATGCTAAGAAGGTCTGTTTGTGACAGAAAAATGACATAATTGAATACTCTCTTTAGCCAACTGACAAAGTAAATCTGAATATTTGGGACACGAATTCAAGGTCAAACAATTCCATGGAATTTCTCTTCTTCCCCTCACGAACAACAGTTTCAGAAGTTGATTTAATTCTAACCTCAACGCTAATACAGTGATTCACTTTTTAGATGGAATTAGACCTCATTATAAATTCTAGTCACAAAATGAGGATAATGGCAGAAAAAAGGAGTTGACGCATGCCTATTAATAGACTGGTTTAAGTATAATCTCATCCTTTCTGGTCCAATAAACGCGATTTCTCCCTAAACGCTGCCTTACCCTAAAACATGATTAAATGACTTGTATTGTTAATTCAGCAAATAAGTAACTCAGAATATGTGTAATTTGAGTAGACAACATTCCTATATGTCAGACAATTTCTAATGCCTCCGAGTCGTCGAAAAAAGCCATGTCTTGCAAAACTTTCCAATAGTAAACAATGAAGAAATGAGTGGAGAGTAGATTTTATTTTCACAAAAAATGTATATTCTACGGTTTTTCGTTAAATAAACAATTCACTTGGGAAATTTTGCCCTTTTTTCTTCCTAGACCAAAAATAACTTCCACTAACATTGTGCACTTTTATTTAAGATTATTATTCAATAGTGAAAATGGGTTGTGTCTCCATGCTAAGCCATATTATCATTTCGAAGGTCAAAGAACTTACAGCTTCGAGATTGCATTGGACGATGGGAATGGAAGCAAACGAAATGCAACATTTAGTCATTATTAGACTTTTTGTTGACTTCTGACTTCACAGAGAGGGAGGAGCATCAAAGTCACGAGAAGTCGACGGGGGGGGGGGCTGGGAACATAAGAGCATTCACAGATGTAAGAGAGACAGACACAAAGGTAGAGAGAAAGGTGAGGTGAGTACTGTGGAAGGGTTCGAATATGACATACAGTGGGGTGATGGTAGTTTGAAGTCAGAAGTCAACTGTCGGTTAATAGACTTTTTTGCCGTATGAGTATACGTTG